AAGAACAGTAGGGCCCACTTTGTCTCCCCGTTCGGCCTGCCGGTGCTCTCTCCTGGATGAATCCGCGGAATGGCGCAACACCGGTTCCAGGACCGACCATGATGACCGGCTTGGACGGGTCGGAGGGCAACTTGAAATTCGAGTGACGAACGTGGACTGGAACGTGAATACCGTCGTACTTATTCCTTGGACCGGTGATAGCATAGGTTAAGCCGTGGGGATCGGGACTGGGGTCGCCGTGTTGCTTTTGTTTCAACGCAAGGAGGTAGTTTGTGGTGACGCCCTTCATGACATGGCCGGCGCCTGGCACGCGGATGGATTCAACAACGGAAGTAATGCTGATCTTATCTTTCTGAACAATCGACGAGGACGAGATCGAGTAGTAGCGTGGCTGGAGCTTGGAAATACCTTCGATGAGAAGCGAAAAAGGGACAGACGTAAATGGCTTCGACGTGAGGCTCTGGAGAGCTTGCGCAATGTTGTAGAACTGGGTGGAGATGCGGTCGTGGAAATGGTCCTTGTCGTCCCCAAGGCGCTTCATCGTGTTTTTCGTATCCTCATCCGGAGCAAATTGAGCTAGGGTTGCAATAAACTGTCGAGAAACAGGCCCGCAAATTTCCATGTAGTAGCGAGCAGCGGCGTCATAAGTGGTCGGGGTAGGGAACGGCACCTTTGCCGTCACATCAATAGGCTTGATTTTGATCACAGTATGGCGCTTGTCTTCCAAACCAAAAACCTGCAGAAAACGGTCGACTTCTTTGCCCGCGTTCGTCGGCCAGACAGCCAGGTGGTCGCCAGTCTGATAACTCAACGTGCTTCCCTGGATGCTAATGTCCATATGTAGGCAGTTACGGTCCTTGACCGTAAATAATTCGCGAGATTCGACGATTGGCGCGATGAATGGATTGTGTGCATTGTTGGAGCCAGCTGTGTTTCCTTCGAGGTGGTTCTGATTCGGTTCGCCCACGTAGACGCTCTCCGACTCTGGTGACATGTCCGGTTCCTCAACAATGGAGAATGTGGGCTCATAAATAGCTTCACGCTCCTCCAAACCCATTTCTTCCACCAAAGCGTTCCACATCGGTTCTTTCCAGGCGAGGTAGTCTTCTTCCATGGTACCAGCTCCGTCGTCACCTTCACCAGCAGTGCCGATTCTCTTAGCGCCGAGTTTAGTCAATGCGGCATCGACCTGGCGCACCATCGCGTTGTAATGCTCGTACGTGTTATTGCCTAGACCGAATGTGACGTATCTCAAAGACGACAGCGGCTTCTCCTCAGCGGAAGCGCCTCCCTCGAAGGAAACATCTTCTCCGGTCATGAACTGGTAGAAGTCCACCGCGTTGTCGGTTGGTTCTCCTTCACCGTAAGTAGCCAAAACAAAGAAAGCAAGCTTATCTTCAGGAAATTGATCCAGATTCTCGAAGTCGTAATCCTCCAAGTCAGCGACCATTGTCTTCAAACCAAACCGTTGAGCCCCTTCTTTTGCAAGACGGGACGCATAATCTTCTGCCGTTCCTGTTTGAGATCCAAAGAAGACGACGCAGTTCTTTCCAGTTTCGTCCATTTTCTCGATGATGTTTCTTGTTTTGCCCTCCTTGGGCATACCGTTGGCGGAACCATAGATAAGCAGCAGAGGCTTTGGGAACGGCCCAGTACGTCCTTTCGTAAAATATGC